TGCCACTCTAGACACAAGTGATACGTATTAATTGCCTCACTCATCCCACACTATGCCAGGGGCACGCCATCCCTGTAGCATCACTTACCTAGGGTCGTCTCATTCCTGGTCATATGTGTGAGGAACCACAATCACATCACAATCATAATCATCACAAATCTTACTATGTCAAGGTCATGCTACCCTTCAGCCTAGGGTTGTGCTCACCCCTAACATCACACTGTGTCAAGGTCACCCTACCCTTTTAGTAGCCTAGGGCCATTCTCACCCCTGACATAACACTATGCCAAGGTCACGCTACCCTTTTAACAGTCTAGGGTCGTGCTCACCCCTGGTCATCAATATGAGGATCCACAACCACATCTCATTCACATTCCACACATCTCATTTCATAACTCAAATTCATATCACATACACAATTCCATATCACATACACAATAGATAAGTCCAACAAAATAAGGGTTTACACACCCCTCAAGCAATTCACATCTAGATCATCAATTCTTATCAAGTAATATAATAATAACATTCATAAATTAATATAATAATCAATGGAATTACCAATTTAATATAATCTTAACATAAACGGTAAAACCCCCAATTATTCCAAAACCTAACTTACAAGCACTTTTTTACAATTTCTTTCTCTCTCCCAAATCATCATTCTTACAAATTAAATATATATTCATAATCCTAAATACATACAGAATCATATAAGACCAATAATTCTCCAAATAGAAATAATTATAAAATTACTCATAATCTTACAAGCTTCCTCTTCTACCCAATTTCCTCATGTAACTTTGCATACAAATAATCTTCTTTTCCCCCGTACCTGGATAAACAGTAGCTGAAACTAAAATAGAGATCTCCTTGGTCTCCTCCTCTGAGTGGCCCTCGACCTTCAGAGAGTGTAGAAGGAAAAGAAGAAAATGTAGAAGAAAGAAGTCAGAATTGAAAGAAGTCAGAACTAAAAGGTGTGATTTTTGGGAGTGTCAGAACTCTCTATTTATAGGCATCAAGCATCGCCGGAACAACCCGTTTCAAATCTGGAACGGCCCGTTCTAGACTCTAACAACATGTGTAAAATGCACATCCAGAATGGCCTGTTCTCGAACCAGAACGGCCCGTTCTGGGGTTGCACTTAACCCACAACGACCATATCTGGACAGGCCCATTCTCAATTAGGGTTATAAGCATTTTCGGTGATTTGGAACGCCCTGTTTCCATCTAGAACTTGTAAACAATTTTTGTATTTTGGAACGGCCCGTTCTAAACAACAAAATCACTCTCGTTTTAGTAGTTTGGAACGGTCCGTTCCAATTTGAGAACGGCCTGTTCTAGACTACTAAATCACCCCTATTGGACCTTTGGGCCCTCAAATAATTTGTGAAAATCGGGATGTTACATTTTCAATGTCAACTTAAAAAATACTAATATTTTTTTGTTAATTACTGAATATTCAATTTTTTAAAATTAATAAATAACGTCTAATTTTTTAAAAAATTATTAATGTTTGAAAATTGGCTGCTATTTATTTTTTAAAGTTTAATTTTAAAATTTCAATATATATATATATACATATTTAAAATAAATTCTTCCTATAATGTAAACTAAATTTCCTTAAGAATTTAAAATTTAATAAATTTAAATTAATTCGTTGATAAAAATATTTAATAAATAATGGAAATTGAAATTAAAATAATTCTTTTTTTTTTCACCTAAAACATCCACAATTGCACGGTGAGAAAAGAAAACATCTATATGTAAAGCACACAAGGAAAAACACAACATAATCTCATCAATTAATGAAGTCTTTACAAGCATATCCATACATTCTAATTCTATCAATCATGCATCATATTCACATCACAATTTCACAATCACACCAGTCTATCACAAATCTTGCAATTAACACTATGCCAATGCTAGCTCACACCACCTCAAGGTCATGCCACTCTAGACACAAGTGATACGTATTAATTGCCTCACTCATCCCACACTATGCCAGGGGCACGCCATCCCTGTAGCATCACTTACCTAGGGTCGTCTCATTCCTGGTCATATGTGTGAGGAACCACAATCACATCACAATCATAATCATCACAAATCTTACTATGTCAAGGTCATGCTACCCTTCAGCCTAGGGTTGTGCTCACCCCTAACATCACACTGTGTCAAGGTCACCCTACCCTTTTAGTAGCCTAGGGCCATTCTCACCCCTGACATAACACTATGCCAAGGTCACGCTACCCTTTTAACAGTCTAGGGTCGTGCTCACCCCTGGTCATCAATATGAGGATCCACAACCACATCTCATTCACATTCCACACATCTCATTTCATAACTCAAATTCATATCACATACACAATTCCATATCACATACACAATAGATAAGTCCAACAAAATAAGGGTTTACACACCCCTCAAGCAATTCACATCTAGATCATCAATTCTTATCAAGTAATATAATAATAACATTCATAAATTAATATAATAATCAATGGAATTACCAATTTAATATAATCTTAACATAAACGGTAAAACCCCCAATTATTCCAAAACCTAACTTACAAGCACTTTTTTACAATTTCTTTCTCTCTCCCAAATCATCATTCTTACAAATTAAATATATATTCATAATCCTAAATACATACAGAATCATATAAGACCAATAATTCTCCAAATAGAAATAATTATAAAATTACTCATAATCTTACAAGCTTCCTCTTCTACCCAATTTCCTCATGTAACTTTGCATACAAATAATCTTCTTTTCCCCCGTACCTGGATAAACAGTAGCTGAAACTAAAATAGAGATCTCCTTGGTCTCCTCCTCTGAGTGGCCCTCGACCTTCAGAGAGTGTAGAAGGAAAAGAAGAAAATGTAGAAGAAAGAAGTCAGAATTGAAAGAAGTCAGAACTAAAAGGTGTGATTTTTGGGAGTGTCAGAACTCTCTATTTATAGGCATCAAGCATCGCCGGAACAACCCGTTTCAAATCTGGAACGGCCCGTTCTAGACTCTAACAACATGTGTAAAATGCACATCCAGAATGGCCTGTTCTCGAACCAGAACGGCCCGTTCTGGGGTTGCACTTAACCCACAACGACCATATCTGGACAGGCCCATTCTCAATTAGGGTTATAAGCATTTTCGGTGATTTGGAACGCCCTGTTTCCATCTAGAACTTGTAAACAATTTTTGTATTTTGGAACGGCCCGTTCTAAACAACAAAATCACTCTCGTTTTAGTAGTTTGGAACGGTCCGTTCCAATTTGAGAACGGCCTGTTCTAGACTACTAAATCACCCCTTGAGTGCGAAGGCAAGATTGTGAAGGAACACGAGGAGGGGTTTTGGCATGCCGCTCGGCAGGCAACCCACTTCCGTGCTTTTCCCCCTGACTTTTCTTTTGAATTGAGCAAGGACTTCTTTCAGGGGGAATTCATGGATTTTGCCGAGGCGCCGGATAACCTTGAGCCAGATGATGCGGCCCCGCCCCGATCGGCCCCGGCCGAGGATCCTGGGACTACTCTAAATGATGATGACGAGACCGAGCAGACCACCAATGCCGATTATGCGGCCTTTGTTCTTGTCTTTTGGATTCATACATCTGTTTTGTTGATGATGTATATGGTTAGGGTATACTTTTTGTTTCTTTTTTGATTCCTTGGGCCGGATGAGCCACACATGATTGTACCCCCCCCGGCCGTTAGTGCCGTTTTTTTTTAATTGAATGAAGTTTTAGTTCCTATTCGGACATTTTTTTTTTTTATACTTACGCATTTAAGTAGACGTTGTGCTTTCAAATGAATCGGTTTTTCTATGGAGACTTGCTTCCATTTGAACGAGTTAAGGTACTCGGGAGAGAATAAGCGTTCGTCCTTGACCGAGTTAAGGTACTCGGGAGGGAATATTGCTTCGTCCTTGTCCAAGTTAAGGTACTCGGGAGGGAATATTGCTTCGTCCTTGACCGAGTTAAGGTACTCGGGAGGGAATAAGTGTTCGTCCTTGGCCGAACAAGGTAGTTCGGGAGGGAACGTTCGTTCATCCTTGACCGAGTTAAGGTACTCGGGAGGGAATAATACTTCATCCTTGACCGAGTTAGGGTACTCGGGAGGGAATAAGTGTTCGTCCTTGGCCGAATAAGGTAGTTCGGGAGGGAACGTTCGTTCATCCTTGACCGAGTTAAGGTACTCGGGAGGGAATATTACTTCATCCTTGACCGAGTTAGGGTACTCGGGAGGGAATAAGTGTTCGTCCTTGGCCGAACGAGGTAGTTCGGGAGGGAATGTTACTTTGTCCTTGACCGAGTTAGGGAACTCGAGAGGGAATAAGTGTTCGTCCTTGGCCGAACAAGGTAGTTCGGGAGGGAACGTTCGTTCATCCTTGACCGAGTTAAGGTACTCGGGAGGGAATATTACTTCATCCTTGATCGAGTTAGGGTACTCGGGAGGGAATAAGTGTTCGTCCTTGGCCGAACGAGGTAGTTCGAGAGGGAATGTTACTTTGTCCTTGGCCGAGTGAGGTTATTCGGGAGGGCATGTATGATTTAACTTGTAATTAAATTGGCAAATGAATGATTCAAAAGAGCTTGTTTCATTGATATGGTGCCTCGTTAAAAACCTTTCCCAGAAAAACCTCTTTCACATTTTTATAAGAGGGCAAAACCTGAGGAAGGAAAAGAGTACACCGAAACAATTACATACTGTTAACTGAAATAATGTTTCAAATGCGTTGCGTTCCATGTTCGGGGAATAGCCTTTCCCGAGAGTTCTTCCAACTTGTAGGCTCTGTTCTTCAAGTTATGCATTATGCGAAACGGGCCGTCCCAATTAGGTGCAAGTTTGCCCTGAGCTTTGTCTTTTCTTGCTTCTCCGGTAATTCGCCACACGAGATCCCCGGCTTGAAACTCCCTTGGTTTTACTTTGGTTCAAATTTTCTTTGCTAACCTGGTTCGACATGCCTCCATATTAATAAGAGCTTGGTCTCGGGTCTCTTCTACCAAATCCATCTCAATGTTGAGTGCTTCCGGTTGGTGTCTTCATCGAACTGTGTTCGCCTTAGCGAAGGCTCCCCCACCTCAACCGGAATCATTGCATCTGTGCCGTAGGTCAGCCGGAAAGGGGTCTCTCTGGTTGAACTCTGTGGGGTGCACCGGTATGCCCATAGGATGTCCGGTAAGTGATCCGGCCAGGATCCCTTAGCTTGTCCAAGTCGTCGTTTTAACTCCTTTAAGATGACTTTGTTTGCCGCTTCAGCCTGCCCGTTGGATTGGGGATGTTCGACCGAGGTCATCTTATGTTTGACACCTAACTCGGTCAAAAATTCGTTGAAGCGTCGATCGGTGAATTGTAGACCATTATCTGTTATCAAGGCGTATGGGATTCCGAAACGTGTGACGACATTCTTCCAGAAGAACTTTTGGACATTGTTGGCCGTAATGGTAGCCAACGCTTCTGCTTCGATCCACTTAGTGAAGTGATCTACTGCTACTACCAGGAATTTCACTTGTCCCCTACCCGGCGGGAATGGTCCGAGAATGTCCATGCCCCAAACAGAGAATGGCCATGGAGTGGTTATAGGATGGAGCTCCTCTGGAGGTTGATGCGTCAGAGGTCCATGTTGTTGACACTGCCTGCAATGTTGTACAAACTTGGCACAATCGGTTTTCAGAGTGGGCCAGTAGTAACCAGCCCAAATCACTTTTGTCACGAGAGTCCGGCTTCCAGAATGAGTTCCGCACACTCCTTCATGAATTTCTCGGAGAACATAGCTTGCCTGCTCGGGAGTGAGGCATTTCAACAAGGGGGTGGAAATGCCTCGCTTATACAACTCTCCGGCAATCAACGTATACCGTGCGGCTGTGGTCCTCATCTTCTTCGCTTCTAGGGAATCTTCGGGCAATTCCCCGGTCCGAAGGTGGTTTACTATGGCATCCATCCAACACGGGCTTCCCTGATCAATCTTCAGGCATTCAGTTTCATTGATGCTCGGGCTAAGTAACTCTTGTTGTATCATGCTACGCAAATGGCTATTTTTCTTGTTACTAGCGAGTTTAGCTAGTTGGTCGGCCCTAACGTTGCGTTCCCGGGGAGTGTGTGTGACTCGGACCTCTTCGAAGTTGCTTCTTAGCTTATGGAAAGCATGAAAATACAATAGCAAAGTCGGATCTCTGATCTGGAAAGTGCCGTTAACTTGCCCTGTTACCACTTGTGAATCGCTAAAGCACTGGAGCTTAGTGATGCCGAGTTCGGTGGCCAACCTTAGTCCCGCGAGAAGGGCCTCGTATTCTGCTTGGTTATTAGAGGCTTTGAATCCAAACTGCAATGATTGTTCTATTATGATTGTCCCCGGTCCTTCCAAAATGATACCGGCGCCGCTACCGTGTTGGTTGGACGATCCGTCTACGTGTAGTGTCCAGGAGTGTGGCTCAGGGGTTACTGGCGGAGTGAATTCGTTGATGAAGTCGGCCATACATTGCGCCTTGATGGGTCCCCTTGGCTCAAAACGAATATCAAATTGCGATAATTCGATGGACCAAGCAACCATCCTTCCGGCCAATTCGGGCTTTCGTAGGACTTTTGCAATGGGGCTATCTGTTCGGACCAGTATCCTGTGGCTTTGGAAGTAGTGTCGAAGACGTCTGGCTGTATGCACAAGAGCGAGAACGGTCCTTTCGAGATGTTGATATCTCGTTTCGGCCTCTTGTAAGACCCTGCTGATGAAGTATACCGGCCTCTGCTCTGTTTTTTCTTGCACTAATACAGTGCTGATGGCTTTGTCTGAGACCGAAAGGTATACTATCATGTCCAGTTGAGGGTCCGGTTTGGCTAGCAACGGTGGAGCGGCTAGTATTGTCTTGAAGTTTTGGAAAGCAGATTCACATTCATCGGTCCACTTAAACTTGGTGGCTTTCTTTAGTAGGGACATAATGGGTCTGGATTGGTCAACCATGCAGGGCAGGAATCGGGCTAGGGAAGCGATTCGTCCGGAAGCAACAAAACCAAGAAAATCAAAAAGAGTCACCCGAATAAGGATAACCGGGATACTCCACCAACGTCGAAAGGACGTCAGCCAATCATAAGGCATCGCT